AGAGAGTGAAAGAAAATAACTTCAAATAGTGTGAGTGATTGGTTGAACTAGGGGATGCTGAGAGGGAGGGAGTGTTGAGAGGCAGCTCTGTCAGTGCCAGTAGGGGATGCCCTCAGGATGTGTTTCCCTCCTCTTTTATTTATTTCTCTTATTTATTTATACATCTCTCTGCAGGCTCAACCACTGGCCGAGCAGGCCTGGCCCGGGCTGTTTTTATTTATTTATTTATTTCCCCCTTCTGACTTCTCGGGGATTCCCTATTGATGCTGTGTGATTGGCTGCAAGAGCCATTAATCTAGCTAAAGTTGAGATGAACTGATCCCCTTTCACCTCCTCCTCCTTCAGCACCCCTGTGGATTGCACATGACACTGTGTGCATATTAGACCATACTAGCTGACAGTATAATGCTGACAGCATGAGTCAAAACAGCTAAATTGACTCATACAGGTGTTATGAGTAGATGTGCACCATTAATATCTGTACCTGAAAATGAAGTTGGTTGGATAACCAGGTTTAAGCTCTGCCACAGACTAAAAAGAATGCAGGAAAATTAAGCCTGCTCCTCTTTGAATATCTGTTAATGTACTCTGGATTAGTGTCACAACCCAATACCTTTTGTGGTACTGACTGGAATCTGTCTATAGAGTTTTAGCTGTCAAGCTCAAAAAGTTGGCATTGAATGTTTGGTTACATTTTTACTTATTTCACAAATAATGGCAGGAGCTTCAAAGCACTGAAGTGTCCTTTGTTCACACAGGATGAGGATAATCACCTTTATTTGGCTAAGCATGTTACACATATAAGGAATTTGTTTCCGGTACAGAACCGAGGCACTAACCCAACCGATGGCTCTAACCATCTGAGGCAACTTGGGGGTTCAGTGTCTTGCCCAAGGACACTTCGTCGTGTGAACCGCAGGTACCGTGATTCGAACCTCTAACCCTCCAGTTGGGAGATGACCGCTCTACCCACTGAACCACAGTCACCAACTATACACAGACTTCTGTTATGTCACTGTCTTTAGAACAAACCTTCTTTCCAGCAGTACAGTTCCAGTGTAGTGTTTCAGATATAGTCGGACAACATGCTGTATGGACCCATATTTTGCCAGCACAACCAGGCCCTTACATGCTCGTAGGAAATCCAGAAAGCTCACGGTAAAACTGGAAGTCCTGATTGAGCCTCATAGATATCTTTGCGACTTAAGGACAGCAAGAGATGTGTGTGATTTGAACAGCGGCCTAGGGTAATTGTACTTGGCTATGCATGCCACAACAATAGAACTGGAAGCTTACTTTGTTCAGAAGATAAAAGGATTTAGTAGAAAATCATTTAAGACACTATTCAAAGTAGGGAATAAAAAAGTATCACTTTGGTCTTGGTACTGAAACTTGACTATCAAGTTGGCACCAGTACCATCACTGATTAGCAGTTTCTGAGCTCACCAGGAAGCTCATTCTCTCAGTAGCAAGTGTGCATGTGACAAGTAAACAACAAATCTTATTGTCTAGTCTTTTAGGTATATTATTTTCTATGTCCAGTTATTTATCATTTTCCATTCATTATTGAATGATAAACACAATAGATGCAGTTCTTTTTCTGATTGAATTAGGACAGGTGATGAGTACTCAGACATATTTGTGCACTTCTACCTTTAAAGGAAGTGTTAGGAAGTCAGTCTATCAAAGCAAGAGCTGTTTTCTATATTGAAATACACTTTAGAGAATGTTATAGTGGAGATCTACAGGTTTAATTTGATTAAGAAGGATCTTTATGTTGCTAGAACCTGCGCAGTAGACACATTTATTTTCATCTGCCTCACAACATTGTTGAATACCAATCCAACAGCGGCTGAGGGTAAGCATCATTCTGCTACTTTAGTAAGATTCATGGAGAGCCAGCTAGACACCACCTCATCCAGAGCACAGATGGGTCTGTTTGAGGCCTGTGCCAAAAATCCCAGCGTCGGTTAGGCCGCCGTTGAGGTGGGAATAAGGAGTACAGGAGGCTCAGCGCCTGCTGGAAGGCACAGGTAGGAACGCAACAGTCAGCCTGAGAAAAGGGCTGTGGATAAGAAGTGGAAGAGGAGGGAGGAGGAGGGGGGGAACCAGGCAACGATAACGAAACTAGCTGAGCAGGTTGAGCTGGTTCCCGGTTTGTTTTCAACCTGGCTCCAGGACACACATGCACAGTTTAACTGTTGAGTAGTTAGCACACTGTCAGTTCTATAGAACTGTTGGATGTCTTGATGGACATCTCTTTACACTTTTACAGCTTAACCGTTTAGTTTAAACCTGCTAATCCTGACCAACTTCCTATGAATACAGCACAATAAACAATACATCAAAATGGAGAAAATATTGCTGCGACCAAATAACCTTTGTCATTTCTAAGAAAGGAAATATATTAAAAGCCAACAATAGCAAAAGAAGGGGGTGCTGTTTCACATAGTTGACTTAGTCTGTAATGAATAACCACCTTAAAACTGCAGCCTTTTTACACAAACTACACAAACTGAAAAATTGTCTTCTACTCTAATGATGTCATCTGGGTTATCTCAATTTGAGCTTGAAACTTAAAAATTCTAACAGTACCTCTGTTACAAACTGGAT